TCTGAACCTTGCCCCCCACGCCCCCAAGTGCATGTTCCCTCAGACACAGTCGATGCCACACAGAGTGTGGCATTCTGTGATGCTCCCTGTTGACACAAGCACACAATTGTAGGTGGTCACACGCCTCTGTGACCCCCGTCCTCCTTCCACTATCCTGTTCCTAAGCCCGCCTTCTGCCTCTCATGCTCTGGGGGAACTTGGGAGGAGTCAACTAACAGCCAGATGAACACACTGCATTAAGTTTCCTCTAAGGTAGTTGGCAGGATGAAAAGGAAACGAAAGTTTGTTTCCTTGATTGAGGCTGAAGAGTTAGGTTGAGAAGCTTGCGTTCCAAGGGTCATTTCATCGCGAAGGAAATGGCACCCAGGAAGGGGACATCTGTGGACAAGAGAGGGACCGGATTCAAGTGTCCTCGATTTGTATAAATCAAATAGAACACTTGATGGAAAGATCAAATGTTTTCTATAAAGAACTAACTTTTAACCTTTCGATGTGAGGTATGTATCATGTCTACGATAACGTTTCCTTCTGGAAGGTTTGGATGGTAAGTCTGGACGAATGAAGCACGGCTAGCCATGTAGCTGTGTGCTTGTCAGGTTGTGGGGGGCAGGGCATGGGGACTCGAAAGTGCACGATGTCCGTGGATTCAATCTATGCTGCCAAGTAAGAGCCACCTCCACATATTCACCATACCTGCATGGAATTAATTTCAGTCCTCTATGTGCGATGGGAGAGAAAGCACAAGCCTAATCTGCATCATATGTCTCGGAAAAGCTCCAGACAGACACCAGCCTGGAGTGAGAAATGTGGATTTTTCAGTTCCTAATGTTTAAAGGGTAACATTTCCTTCGTTTCATAAAACAGAATGAAGGCCTTTTTTGGGGGCTGTTTTTGAAGGAAATCTTGAGGGAGTGACTTCTGTAGGCATTTGCTGTTGTCAGGAAAAAAAGATACTAGCAAGTGAAAATATTTTGCCTCAGATCCCATAGTCTGTTAAAGACAGTCCCAATTTGACATGGTGCATAGGCGAGTTGCTTAAAGAGAGACATCAGAAGCCCCAGCATGGGGGAATCCACGGGGAAGAGGATGGCAGGCTCTGCGGATATCTGAAATTTGCATGCAAAGTATTGAGTACTGGTGCATTTTCTGAGGTTCATAGCTTTCATCAGATTCTCGAGTAAGTCCATCACCCAGAAAAGTTTAGGACATGCCCACTGCCTTCCCCCATTGTAAATCCAAGACAGGTTAGAAAAACAATTGTAAAAGAACTCTCAACAGCCAGTAAAATAAACAGAAGAAACTAGAGGTAGATCTTGACTGATATTGAAATGGAAGGGGACTTTGCAAACACAAAGAAAATGGGAGAATTCACACAAAAGGTGAATAAATTTAATATGTAAAACTGGAATTCCTTTTATACCCCAAAATATCATAAATAAAATTAAAAGGTAAATTAGGGAAATGTTTACAATAAATTACTGGAAAAGGGTAAATGCTCTTAATAAGAAAATGAACTCTTACAAATTGGGAAGAACAACTCTCTCTCAAATAGAAAAACGTAGGCCAAAGGTAGGAACAATTCATAGAACAAATACAGTTAACAGCAGCTATATGCTGGAGCTGGCTGGTACTAGCTCATGTCGGCCAATTCTCTACTCCTTGTTTAGTGACATTACATTGATAGCCTGAAATTGGCCATGGTGGGAGTTTTTACAGCAGAGAAATCATTGATGAATCAAGGCTTTTTTTGTTTTGTTTTGTGTTTTTGATGGCCAATTTAATGTTACACCATTGGTTAGTAGATAATATAAAGAGCAGTTCAAGTGTACCATTAATCAGAGAAATAAAAAAAGAAATGAGCTCTGGACAAGATGGAATAAGCACTCTTCAACCTATACCTCCTGCAAATTACAACAAAAAAGTCTGGAGCAAATCCATGAAGCAACAGAGACTCTGAAAGTTGGAGAAAAATAAATGGACTGGCTGTGGACCTCAGAACTCAAGAGGCTTTCCAATAGTGAATTCTTATTTTTGTTTCTGCCATTTTTATATCTTGGCCTGTGCTCTGGAGAGGCTCCCAATCTGGAAATGCCAATGGCACCAGAGCCAAAGGAGGCCCAAGGAAAGCCTTCTGTCTGCAGCCAATAGATGGGGAACAGTGTGCCTCAATAAGGAGAAACATCTTGACCATACCCGACCTTACTCCAGTTCCAGGTGGGTACCAGAAAAAGCCATCCCCTCCACCCCCAACTGGTCACCACATCCTGGAGATGGCAGATCCCTGCTTCCCAATCCTGCTTACAGTAACAGGCCACATCTCTTCTCTGGAACAGAGACTGTGGGCTGAACTTTTTGGTGGATTCCTCATCACCACAGAGGCCAGAAGGAAACGGAACAACATTTTTTAAATGTTGAAAGAACAGTCAACCCAGAATTCTATATCCAGGGAAAATATCCTTCAGGAACAAAGGTGAAATAGACATCTTTGGATGAAGGAGAACCAAAAGAACTTGTCACCAGTGGACCTGCTTTAACAGAATAGCTAATGTTTCTCAGACAGAAAGGAAATGATAACAAAAAGAAACTCAGAATATCAGGAATGGAAGATGAGAAAGGGTGGATATGTGAGTAGATGTAGCAGACCACTCTTAAGTTTTAAGACTTGATTTTGAACACGTCTTGCTTCATGGTTGAAAGCAAAATTATAGCATCTAAAGTGGTTCTCAATGCACATAAAGGTATCACTTAAGACATCTATGTGATAAAGGGGGAAGAATAAAGAGATCTCAAAGGTGGTAATGTTTTTACATTCCACTTGAATTGATAACGTACTGATACTAGTAGACTGTAATAAATTACGCGCATACGGTGTAATCTTTAGAGCAGGAGTTTTTCAGTCACGTGATTTTGTCCACCTGGGGCATCTGGCAATGCTCGGAGACATGGTTCCATGTGCAACTGCCATCTAGTTGGTAGAAACCAAGATGCTGCTAAACATTCTACAATGCACAGGACAGTCCCATATAACAAGGCGTTATCCAGCCCCAAATGCTGACAATGCTGAGGTTGAGAAACCCTGCCCTATGGCAAACTATACAAAGACATATCTCAAAACCACCACAGATTAATCAACAGGGAATTCCAAAAAATGTTCAACTAACCTATAGGAATTCAGGAAAGGGGAGCACAATAAACAAAAATCAGAGGGAACAAACAATATTAAAATGGTAGACAAATTCTAACACACCATTTTAATTGCATTAAAAGTAAATGATCTAAACACACCTATTAAAAGACAGTGATTGGCAGAATGGATGACCCAGCTACAAGTGGTCTCCGAGAAACTCATTTTCAATATGACGACACAGGTAAGGTAAGAGTAGAAAGGTGGGAAAAGACACACCTTACAAACACGAATCAAAAGAAAACTGAAGTGGATATATGAGTACGAGATAAAGTATACTTCAGAACAAAGATAATTACCAGAACTAAAGAGGGCTAGGACATAATGATAAAACGGTCCATTCACCAAGAAAACACAACAATCTCAACTCTGTGTACCACAAACACCAGAGCTTCAAAATACATGAAGGAAAAACTGATGGACTGAAAAGAGACACATTCATTGTTGAAAACATCAACATCCCCTTTGAGTAAGTGATGGAACTGCTAGACAGAAAAAATGAGATTTTTTTAAATATCAAATTGGCAAAGCTTTGAAATGGTAATACTTAAAGCTAGCAAAGTCATGAAGAGACAGATGCTCTGTAATAATGTGGAAACATAAATATACATAGGAGTCCTGAAAAAATATTTAATTTATATATTAAGAGGCTTAAAAGGGTTACAGCACTTTTCAACCGAATACTTTCACTTTTAGGAGTATCTCCTAAGGGAATAATTAAAGTGTTCCAAAATTTATCTGTCTAGACCTTCACAACAGAGCTATTTATAATAGCAGAAATTAGAGACGTCCATACTTGCCCACTAATTGGCAAGTGCTTAAAAATGTATTCTACATAGATATATAGTGCTATTGTTAAAGTGACATGTTTAAGAGTTTTTAGTGCTGTGGTAAATAGGAATGATTTTAAGGCAAAAAAGTAGTATATAAAGTAATGTGCATACAGAATAATCTAAATTATGTTAAAAATACACATGCAATTCTTAAATACAAAAATTACTAGAAGTGTGACCATGATAGCAATGAAAAATTACCAGGGATTATTTCTCTGTGCTTTGCATGTGCTTATTTTTACTGCCTGCCCACCTTAAGTTTCTTATTGTGAAATGATGTCTTATTCATGGTCTAACAAATAGGAACTGTTAACTTCTGGAACAGCATAAAAATGAGATAGAGGATAGATACTGAGGATCCAATACTATGCTGCATCTGGTATGGAGACTCAATGGATGGTAAAATTCTTGTGAATAATTTTGAAAATGAAAAAAGGGTAAGAAAGTATGCCCACTAATATTCCTGAGGTGACCTTCCTTTTTTGTTTTTAAAGATTTTATTTATTTGAGAGAGAGAGAGAGAGCACACAAGTGGGGGGAGTGGGAGAGGGAGAAGCAGGCTTCCCGCGGAGCAGGGAGCCCGATGCGGGACTCGATCCCAGGACCCTGGGATCAGGACCTGAGCCGAAGGCAGACGCTTCACCGACTGAGCCACCCAGGTGCCCCCTGAGGTGACCATTTTTATTGTCTGGGCCTCACTCCTGGCTGTACCTGTCATTCTCAAGAGTATCATGGATTAGGTGGTAAGTTGGGCGGGTGCCCTGGCTATTCCGAATGCAAAAATATTCCCGATAAAACACACCTATCGTGACTATACATGGAGCACTGTACTAATGCTTTACTTGGCTTATCTCACTTAACCACCTGAAGAGCTGAATTATCTGCATTGTACGGAGGCCGCGGCAAGTGGACCAACTAGACGTCAGCAGGTGGCAGGGTCTGGACTTGAACGACATCCATCACATTAACTGCGGAGGGCATACCTGGGCCTGCCGGAGCGCAGGGTTGGCCGGCAGGGGTCTGGCGGGGACGAGGGGTGCGCGAGGAGCCTTCTGGAGGGGCGGGAGCACTCGCTGAGGTGAACCAGCCACAGGGGCATCATGGGCTTGGAGGGGCCCACTGATGTCAACGTTCTGACACGGGGACCACCTCCTGGTATTGTCCTGCAGGGACAGAGCAAAAACCAGTGTCGTGGGTCCTACCACTCCTCAAGGGGGTGGTGCTGACTCGTCGTGCATTTCCACGAGGGGGAGTCTATCCTTATTTGTTTAAACTTCACAGCTGGAGCAGGAACACCCTTCCAACCCAATCTGGAATAGCGGGACTGGTTTCTATGGGAATTTTAAAAACTGGTTTAATTCATCAACAAATAGGCACAGGGCACCTGGGCAAGTGCCAAAGAGTATGATGACACAGACCAGATCTTAAGGAAAGGATGGAGGAGTTGTGAACTGAGGTGGAGGGTGATGCCCTCCAGGCTCAGTGAGAACCAAGGAAACCCCTGGCAAGGAGGATGGAGACTTCTGGAAGCCAGCCGAGATGAGGGGCCTGAGCCTGGAGGGTCGCCTCCTACACGGTGCCCCTGCTTTTTGGGCAGGTCAGAACAGATGCCTCATGCCCCCGACCCTCCCTCTTTTCTTCCTTTCTCTCTTTCTAAAAACAGCTTTATTGAGGTTCCACGGACAGATGGCTAATTGCACATACTGAAACTGGATGGAGTGGAAAATTTTGACATGTGTCCACACCAATGAAACCATCACAATAAGTAAGATAATGAACACATATCCACCGTCACCCTTCCCTCCCATTCCACTCCTCCTTGCCTCCCCTTCCTTGCAACTACAGATCTGCTTTTTGTCACTATAGTTTGCATTTTCTAGAATTACATATAAATGGAATCATAGAGTATGGACTTTTTTTTTTTGGTCTGGCTTCTTTTACTTGGCATAATTATCTTGAGATTCATCCATGATGTTGTATATATTAATAGTTCATTCTCTCTTATTGCTGAATAGCATTCCATTGTGTAAATATACCAAAGTTTGTTTATCCTTTTACCTGTTGATGGAAATTTGGGTCATTTCCCATTTTTTGGCTCTTCAAAATAAAGCTGCATTTTTGGCTCTCATAAATAAATCTAGCTGTTCTTGTATATAGCCCCACGTTTGGGGCTGAGAGGTGGTAAAGCTTATTAGGAATCCAATCCTCTATACTTTTTATATCAAGGGAGATAAAATAGTTTATGGTTTAGTAAATATGTGAATAGTCATTTTTAAAATCATTTGTCACTTCTTGATCCCAATACTGTCACTGTTACAAGTTGGACCCTTGTTGAATGAGTCCAATATTCAAAAATTCTCACGCATATAGCAGAAACACTTGATGAGGAAGACTAAATATTGGAGTAGACTCTGGTGATAATTCACGAGGAAGCAGGAAAGTTTAGAGCCAGGAGGGAGCCAGCAGGTACTTTGGGTTAAGGATCTGGCTCTTTGAAACCATAGGGTAGGGTGGACAGACCTTCCGCAACCCAGAGCTGGAGCAAAAGGGGCCCATGCATGGGCTCAGTGTAACTCTGAGAAATGCACTGGGAGATACAGGGCCAAAGATGATGATCCAAAACTTGCTGGTGGCATCTGAAACCATAGGAGGGGCCCAGAGCCAGGAACCTGCTTGGGAGGCAGACCCAGTGGGCCTCCTGGGAATTTGGTCTGTCTGGGTACTTGGAGGGATCATGGCCCACCACGTACCACATGCCACATCACACAGGGGACACTGCCCCAACTAGATTTAGTAGAGCTTCCATGGGGCAGAGTGGGCCTCCTTCCAGCCCCCGACCATCCTTCACAAAGGGGGTGGACTCTGCATTTCAGGGATCTATTCCTACTATGAACAATCTATTCCTACTCGAGCTCTTGTTGAAAAACCTGTGTTGCAATGAGCACACGAACTTCTCACATTTGTCGACAACTTACCTTCAACATATTGGAATGTGACGGCTTCCTCATCAGGCCTTTGCTGAGGTGGCTGAGGTGAGCCTGACCAGGGTGGGAGCCGCGGGATGGCCTCGAAGGGCGCACACACCTGCAACACGATCCCGTCACACGTAAAAAAGCACATCGCCCCTCTGGCTGACTTCACTTTTTCTGTTTGGTTCACAATCACGCTCAAAAAATAATTGACTTATTTTAACTCAATATGGTAAACATGCAAAGGAAAAATTATCTAACATTCTTACGGGATTAAAAATAAAAATTGATTCTCACCCACCTCCCCCCCCTCCCCCGCCAGAGCCACTATTCTGTGAAATTAGTTCTTGCAATCCACAGACATGTGGGTCTGAGACACCTGGGAGACATTTTGTAGAAAGCTGGTATTTCAGCAAGAACGTCTTTGAATCTATTTGGATCAAAAGCTAGCCCATCTGACGAAACTATTTTAACATCCCATGTCTTGTAAAAATTACTAATAGAAGGGTGGGAACAAATCCATCAGTGGGACCCATCAGCACCCTGCTTATTTATATAATAAGCAGCAAACAGTTTGAAGGGAAAGGAAGGAGGCAGCTGGTCTGGCAGAGATTTTAAAAAACCAGAACAACCGTTTTACTATCTAAAAAGCCGACCTCTTTCTTTGCTAAGGAAAATGAAGCGAGAAGCAGTTGGCTGTGCATTCTTTCAAATGCCACTTCTGCAGAAATGACCCAAACCCAGGGTACCTTAGCTTTTCAATGGTGGTTTTTTTATCTGTAAACAGCAGGTGTATTAATGTCTTCCTTTTGAGATAAACTGCAAATCCAGCAGCAAGAAGACACAGGATGGTCACCAGAATTCCTATGGTTAGACCTTGGTGATCTGAAACAGAAACGCATTTTGCTCAGGCAAAGAGGCAGTTATAATGAAATACGGACGTATCAGATCATGACATTTATGGCAACGCGAGCTTTGAAGGAAGGAACAGAGATGGAATGAGTAAATCCCCAAATGATGTACTGATTAATTAGTCGTACTTCAAAGGTCATGCCTGAGGTTCAGTCTGTGTCGCCGTCATGCACTTCTGACAACTCTTGATAAATAGGAACGTCGTCCATCAGGTGGGACCGTAGTCCTGACCACATGCGGCCCCCAGCCCCCCCGACCGCCCCACGGGGATGGTGGCCACAGAGGGTGACAGGAGGCTGGCACGTCCCCGGACTGTGACCTCTCTAGCCCCCATCACAAATATGCTCCTCCCTGCGTCCTCCTCCTCTCATTCTTGAGCGCTGCGATCTGTGTTTGTTTTGTTTTTTTGTATTTTTTTTAGCCCAAGAATTTACTTCTGGACATTGTCAAAATAGAAGGTGAGAAAAAGACCCAACAAAACTCATAGCTAAAAGGAAAGGCCCACAGGTTTGGTTTTGTTAGGTTTCGCTCTGTTTGTTAGGTTAGGGACTCAAAATATAAGCTTTGGGGGGCAAACCCCGTTCTCTGGGAGGGTGCTGTTTATTTTCTCCAGAGGAACATCCCCTTTTCTGTGATTTGCTCCCATTTTATTCAGTACAAGGACACTGAGACTCCCTCAAGGGTGTGGAAAAGAAGGGAAAATCAAAACTTCAGGCTGGTTTCTGACCACAGAAAGAGTCCCGGAGAGGATTCTGCCAGGCTAGAGAGGAGCTAGATAAGCAACCCCCACGGCTCTGCGGAGTCCTTGAGAGCACAGATGTGAGTTCGCGGGTCTCTGTTTCCCTGCCAGCAACAAGCAGGATGTGCCGCCCCTAGCAGGAGGGCCACGGTCCCCTCAGGCTGCTGGGAGTGGCTGTGCAGGTCCCGCCCCCCCCAGGCCTCCCCACCGCCATCGCTGGCCACGATGCTCAGCGGGCTGCCCGCCAGGCCAGGGCAGCAGCGCTCCTGCTCTGGGAAAGAACGCCTCACACCCTCTCTGTTTCTGGACTTCGTCCCCAACTGACAAGTCCTATCCGGGACGTGTCTCAGCCTAAGTAAGACAATCAACATATGATAGTCGTGATTCCCTTGTTAGTGTTACTGGAAAAGCCCCGCTTCTGGGTTCCCGGCCAAAACGTCATTCTTTTCAGCCGGGGTCTCTGGCTAGAGCTCTGTTGTGTCTTAACACAGCTAACGAAAAAAGTGAGCAGCATGCGGCCTGAACCACAATTTCTAGCTCCTCGCAATCAATCCGTAAGTCTTAAGCCGATCAATGTATCCAATCGGACATTACCTAGGCCTCCAGAATGAACTTGGCTGCACCTCCCGGGCCACTTGCCTTCATCCGTTGCAGGACACGCCATCAAGCTGCTCAAGCCAGCAAACAGGGGTCCCTTAGTCCCCTCATGCGGTGCGAACACCGTGTCCCGTGCAGCTCCCCACGTTGGCCCACCTCCCCGAGTCCCACTGTCACCCCTCCCCTGGCAGCGTTTTGCTGGGCCACACTAGGTCTGCTCCGTGTCTCTGGGGGCACAGTGGCCGGCACGTGGCAGGTGCTCGAGAAGTCATGGTCAGGCTGGCGGGCGGTGGGGGCAGGGGGGCCCGGCACCCGGCTCCCCACGCCTGCCACTTCGGCGTGCGTTTCAATGTCCTTTCATGCAGTAATGGCAGCTCGTTTTCATTGCTGTAATGATTCTTACCTGCTACAGTGAGGAACTGGCAACTGCGGATCCCCTGGCTTCTGTGAAGCCCCCACAGCTGAGGACCACGGTCAGTACCAGTGCGTACTGGCGAGTCCCCTCCAACCCCTCGGGCGCCATCCAGCCGACTCGATGCGGGGGGAATGGGTGGCGGTGCCCCTGCCCGAGCAGAAGCTAGAATCCTGCTAGCTGTGCCCGGCACACGCTTCACGCCGTCCCCAAGCATTAGTCACGGGGCAGCAGGGACGCCGTGCTCAGGGCGCAGACGCCGGCGAGGAAAGGGGATGCGGGGCCGGCCCTTGTCTTCCTACCCCCGGAAGGAACGCTCACTAGACAGCAAGACTTTCTGGTCCTTTTTGTACTTGCTGTGGGGCCTGGACCCGAGGGAGGGGTCGCCCCGAGTCTCTGAGAGCGACGCTGAGACCCGTCCCTATTTAAGTGGAGGGATGATCGGGCACTCATGACACTGTTTCTACAGATGTGCCCGCGGGGCAGGTCCCCCACCCCCAGCTCTGCCCTCACCGCCTGGCCCCGCAGAGTAGTGTTAGGTCTGTCGTCTTGGAGACGTGGTGACTCACTGCACGTCACAGCAGGACGTGAGACACGTGACGTCCTCCGTAGCAGCATGAGCCACCGTCTGGGCATCTGCGCGTCATGGGGCTCAGGTGAGCACCGAGGTGTCAGGACAAGTGGGCTCGGCGCTGGCCCCCTGCACCTTTTTGATGTGTTTCTTTCCCTTTACAAGGGACATCCTTCAGACTTGCCCCTTCACTGCCTGACAAGTGCTCAGATAAAACAGCAATGCACCAGGAGACCATTCCTCCAGGTCGTCCGGGGAGAAAAGAAAGGGGGTCAAGCACAGCTGCTATGAGGAGTCTTTTTAGGGGGAGATGGACTTGGTCTCAATCTTAGCTGTGTGACTTCGGGTAAGTTACTTACCTTCCCTGAGCCCCAGGTCCTTTATACGTAAAGAAGGAAGGGTAATAGTGACTTGGGAGTTAGGCAAGGATCTGATGAGATCATGCAGAAGGAACACCCAGCATGGTGACTGCACAGGACAACTGCTCAGTAAACAGAAGCGGTTGATTTTACCACTGCTGCTTCTGGGACCAGTCACCTGGACTTGGAGGACGTGTCTCCCTAGTAAGGGTTTTAGGAGACATTCGGCATCACACCTCTTGGTCCCCAGGGCACCGAGGCTGGGCTTTACAAAGTCCTTTCACCCTTCACCGAAGTTCATACCCAATTGGCAGTCCGCTGTTGAAATGACCTTAGCTAAGCAAAGCGTCGCAGGTGAAGAAGGGACAGAGTCAGCCTCTCAGCCAGAGCAGAGCAAGGAGTCTCGGCAGAGGTCAGGACGGGACAGTGGCTGGAAACGGGCCTTGGATGGTGTCAGGCCCTCGTGGGGGTGCACTAGGGTTCCCACTGGGGGGGTACACCTGCATCCCCTTGGCAGCTGGTGAGCCCTCCGTCTTGCTTGGAAGGACCGTGCCTGACTACCCACGGCCCCCCAGTCGCTCAGCGCCCACTCCCGGGGATGCACTGTCCCCACGCACCTGCTCGCCGGACAGGGCCGCTGTCTGTGCTTCCCCCGAAGCCAAACTTGTCACAGAAGGGAGGCGCCCAGTGGGCCTCACAGTGGCAGTTCTTCCGGTTGTTACACACCTGTCCGGGCCACAGGGGAGGGGGACATCGAGAGAGAGACGCAGCATTAGAGCCCACCCTCCATGTGGGGCGGCAGTAAATCTTTGAGCTCTAATTGGCTGCCAGACCAAAGCAAAGGCCCTGTGGTCAGCGTCCCCGTCAGCGCTGACACCGCCAGATACAGACAGGCCACTGTGAGCGTAAACCCGAAACACAGCACCACACGGGTGGGACCAGAGCCTGAGGCTGCAAATGTAACATAATCTGCCTGTCAGCAGCTGTTAAGGGAGTGATGGAGATTTTGGGGGCTCTTCCACTGCCTCCTACCCCTTTCTTTCTCCGTCAATTACTGTGTCCTCTTTTTCAAGTCAGGATTCCTCCCCCCGCCCCCGCCCGCCATCTGACCACAATGAGAAGCCCTCTCGATGGTGAGGAGCGACCCGGCTTCAGGGCTGTGGAATCGGAGCCCTCGGCCATCACGGGCCTGACAACCTCTGGGCGCAGCCCTGCCTCCTGCAGACATGAAGCTCGGAGAGGCTGGCTGACCTGCTCCCGACATCACATGCCTGAGACGCCCGCCTCCCTCGGGCAGGCCCCCAGTGGCCCTTCCTTGGCTCCCGGCCCTGCACGCTGGCCACGGCCTACCAAACCCTGGTGTCCTGGTGACAGGAAAGGGTGCTGAGAAAGCAGGAGGATGGGCTTCGTTCTGGGGGGCCCTGAGCGAGTAGCCTAGCTTGGAGACGAGAGCCCTCCAGAGAGGGGCCAGCTCGGCTCACCTGGTTAGCAAGGGTGACCGAAGGAGGCTGCTCCCCAGCCTGAGTCGGCTGTTAGACTCGCTGTTACTATCTATGGAACTTACGGAGCTCCTGCGTGAACCAGTGGAATATGAGCACGAAAACAAGAGGACATTATCTCTCTGAAAATTGGGGGGCGTGCTTTGGGAACACTGGATATGGGCAAGTCGCTAAAAAGAGCTTCTGACCCATCTGGAATGGGTGGGATGCCTGTGAATGACCAGGAAGAGCTGCACAAACCAGGAAGGATTCTGTACTCGGGTTGCTTCTGAGTGTCCGAGTTTCTCTTCCACTTAAAGAAGCAAACCATACATCGTAGATGATGCGCTTTGCGTGGTTTATATAAGGAAGTCAGAGCAGAGCTACGGTCAGGACACCCACCCCAAAGGCCTCAGCCCTGCATCTGAATATTGCCGGGTGGGGCCAAATACGTATTTTATATTTTAAAGCAAAAATAAAATGTTTAGAGTAGATGTCTCATTTGTGATGTTTTCCTGCTTTCACTGATTTTTTTTTTTTTGATGACTCAGCCATCAAAAGCCCCAATTGCCTAAAATAAGACCGACAGTCCAGATAACCTGTGACAAGTTGGAAAGTATATTCCCATAAAGCTGAAGCCCACGCAGCATTGATTACCGAGTGGCACAAGCTGTGCCGAAGCTGAGCGTCTTGCCTGTTTCTCAGAGGCGTTGCGGCTGACATACCACCCGCCAGGCACCTGCCAGGGTTTGGCTCTGTGCGGCCCACACCGTTTGGCACGGTCTCCCAATGCAAACCGGAGTCATGCGCCCTTTTGGCCGCTGGCAGCAGAGAGACTGCAGCCCCGTCACCCCTTTTGGAGGCACTGCTGGTGAGCCTGGTCTGACTCGGGGAAGGCCTGTGGTCAAGTGACTCGTCACCAAGTCACAGCAGCTGTTCTGCCTACCCAGACAATGTGGGCCTTTCCTCTCCAACACGTGGATGGGAGCCCAGGGATGCTGCAAAGGGAGGCGTCCAGGGTCCCCACCCCAGCATTCCCACTAACTGGTCATGTAACCTCGGACAGGAACTACCACCTCTTGGTCCTGGGCTCCTTCATAATAAGGCTGCACCGGATCATCTCTTTGGGCCATTAAAAAGAAATCTATGATCTAACGAAGACATAAGAAGATTTCATTTTATACTGACAGTCAGCTATACAAACCTGTCGAGAGATGCCATTGCAATCCTTCATGGTTACGGCGTAATAGCCATTTTATTAAAACCCCCATAATTCTATGTTAGAATCATTGGCGAGTGTCTGTGAGTTTTAAAAATAGAATTCGGAGCATGATTACTGCAGAAAAGTTTCAGAAAAACAAATGAACCACCGGCATGGTTAATCAAGATTAATATGATTCCATTGGAAATAATTAAGTCCATCAGGAAAAATAAATTATGTTTTAAACAATTAGAGTCCTCTTCTCTCCTAAAAAAAATTCTCTGGACTAAAATAACAGCCTTCTTTAGTTGAAATGCATTGTATGTGATTTCAAGAACATGTGGTCAGTATGTTCTGTCTCCTTTGTTTTATATCCTTTTGGAAGGATTTCAGTTCAGACACATACTCTGAATCTTGGTTGAAAGAGGGACAGCTCTGTTTGAAACGTTAATGCAAAATCCTTTACGCAGGAAGGTTAGTTTTAAAATTACTTTGAAGATGACAAAGTCCCTTTGTAAAAATCACAGGATGTTAATCTGAAAGATAATTACTGCACAATCTGATTTTCTTTGTTAAATAAAAGTCACATTATTCATGCTATGTAAAGGTCAAAGAAAATTAGTGTCTTTAGAAGAAAACACTGAAGCAACTGCTAGATTTTTAAAAAGTTATGGATTGCAGAATCCTTTACAAATGAATGACTTAGCGCTTAGCTTGATAGGGACTGGCTATAAAAAGGCAGTTCAGCCGGCTCACCCCTCTCTGGTGGCACTGCATCACACATTCATGAACACCGAAGACGCTTATGTTTTGACACCGACGATTGAGGCAGATCTGCAGAAGGAGGAAAACAGTCAATTTCTCAGCCCCTTTCCAACCGCATGCACAGTCTCTATGATTTAAAAAGGGAAAGCAAAGAGAAGTTTGAAGAAGACGATCTTCTTTCAGCTCCTATGGATGCAGCACAATGATGGGCTTTCCATTTGACTCCGACCTGGATCCGGATGCCTGCCTCCAGATTTCAAGACTCAGGTCAATGTGACTCAAGTCACATGGCGCTTCATATGGTTTCAGTCAATTATGAGATCACGATAACTGATTTTTGTTTAGAGCTTGCAACGAAACCTGTGAATTGCAGCATCTCCCCCGTCTGCCCACTGGCCCCCACCTGCCCTTTCCATTAAAAGATACAGGAGAGGAGAAATGCACCAGCCCTTAGCCTGGGGCCTGTGCAGACTCAAAGACTCCAAGAATCCAAGGTCCAAGAACCTTTTAAAGGAGATACCGAAATATGGGAACTTTTCCAAATTACTGACGGACAAGTATTATCATCAATGACACACACCATCAACAGAAATGCTCAGCAGAGGAAAACACACAGTTCCCTTGTGTTTATCAGGTCTTTGAGGAGGAAGTAATTTGCTAAATGATACTGGGCTGGTTGTAAGAGTTTAGTCTCATTTTAAAGGTGCCTAATATACTCCCAACTCAAAGGATCAGGCCCTTTATCTCCCGTAAGATGTTACAAATGAGTGGAGTCAGAGGAAGAGAAGTCTAATTTTTAGATTGCAGAAGCATTTCTAATCGAGTGGAACCTTCCTATGGGAAGTTCACACTAGTGACACACTTTGAAAAAAGTGCCAGCTGCCCTTGCCCAGAACAACTCCCAGGGCTGCCGGGAATCTCGGCCAAGGGGACTGTCACATTCCAGCTGACAAAAGAAACGGAGGTTACAGAGAACACAGCAGGACCCCGGTCAGAATCCCAGCATATGGGTGCTGCTCTCCTCCCAAACCACGAGCAATGCCAAGGACGGCTTTCAAAGAACCCGTGGTCTGCAGGGATGGAGATCAAAGCACATTTAATCTTGCACACGGAGAAAAAAACTCATTGATAAATTGAGCCCTTGGAATTTCGGTGTTCAGATGCACCTGGTTCTGGCTTCTGGCTGTTCAGACTACAGCTTAAAAAATGAGTGTTATTCTAATGTCAAGGCCTGAAGAGAAGCTAACGTGTGCAGTTAAGGAGACCCCCGGAATGTATATCGTGTTTCACGTATCATCATCCCATTTTCTTTGGGATGAGGCACTTGCAGCTCAGAGTATACGGGGGGACAGGGGTGACGGTACAGAATTCTTGCCCTGGGGACTCTGCTCAAGGAGGTGAATCTATCTTTCTATTCTACTCTGTAACCTCCATGTACGTGAGTGATTTCATAATCATTTTGAAGGTGGGCGTCCTAAAAAAAAAGCATGTGGGGGTTGATTAATCCTCTTTCCTAAAATGTTTTATTAACTTGCTTTCATTCAGCCTGATGAGAAAGTTTGGTGAGAAAAATCAACGTGGCAGAATGTCAAAAAAAAAACAACTCAGTTTCTTGTTTTTTCATTTTTGACTTTCTTTCTAAACCCCCAAATATCTCCGTCTACCTTTCCCGCTGGTCTCCAAAAGACCTCCCTTTGGCTTCAAGCTGATCCTCTCTCTTCCCCTCTCCTATTCTCTCTATGGGGGTCTCTGAAAATACATCTGACTTCCCGCTCTGCCCAGGTGAGAACAAGCTGTCCCTGGGCCAAAAACCAAGGCCACATTTCCAAAAACAATATCATATGCTACTGTGTTTCCTTCCAAAGTAACTTCCTGGCTGGAAACACTCATGACACCCAGAGTGTAGAAACGACTTATTAACACTTAAAGGCTGAGAAACCAAGCTTGATTTCCCCAAATCTGCATCTCAATGGTCAGGCCAGGATCTAGGATTTATTAACTTTGCCTTCTAGGTGCAAAGAACTGGATTCCAGAGACAAAGTTCTAGGAAGGAGTGGATTTAGGAAAACAAACAAACCTCCTAAGTCAGTTCTTGGACAGGACGTTTCTCAGCAGGCCCCCTTCCAGACTTACATTTATGATGCGAATGAACTTTTGGGTCTTACTTTTCCATCTGCACACTTGGTGCCAGCAAGCACAAGCCCGGGGTCTGGCAGGTCATCGCCCAAGTACACGTGGGTCCCGCGGCACAGAATTCGACCTCCTTCCTGCAGTGGGATATTCGTTTCTATGGAAACGGCATTGGTACCAATGACGGGCCTGCTGGCCCCTCCTTGACACTGGATTTTTCCGCATTTAGCATCTCTGGAAGGGCGAGAACAAACAGTCCCAAAAGAGGGCAAATTTGGAACCGGCCCTGAGCCGTGTAGGAAGTTCAAAGTGATGGTGTGCTCAGGTTGTGGGTTCCATACCTCATCTCGCATTTGGCAAAGGAACTCTTAGAGTCTTTGCCACAGTTGCCATAAGGGTCACCTGCAGAGTTGACTCTCTCGAAGCAGATCCCGGGGGCAGGTTTAGCACCTGAAACAGAAGCAAAGCAGCACGTTTACCTCCTGCAAGTGTTTTTAGTATTTGCTGTTGAACAGCCCTGGGCTTGCAGGTTAAGGGGAGATGTGTTCGGTGTGCAGAGAAATCATGCCTGCATCTTGGCTGACTCCTGGTATGAGCTGACCAGTGGCAGCCTAGCAGCCTCTCCCGGCTTCGCTCACAGTAAAGCCTGCATTTCATAGCTCACTCTTCCCTAGGGCAGCTATCCAGGCCCAGGGTGCATGCAGCCTCTCAGGAGATGTGGCCTGGCTGTGGGACCAGATCTGACCCAGCACAGAAAGGAGGTGGCTAGCTGGCCGCATGGACAGGGGAGCTTGCTTACTTTAAGAGCATCTCACACCATTCTGGTAAGAAAGTGCAAGCTAGAGCAGGCTCCAAGGAATAATGATGACTATGTGGGGATGCAGAGAGAGAGAGAGAGAGACAGAGAGAGAGAGACAGAGAGAGACAGAGAGAACAAACAAGCAACACAGAGATCTTACACAACATTTTCAGTCCTATAAAGCTCCCTGTAAGAGCAAACACTAGCTTCAGTTCGTGCCTATGTTGGCGAGGAGACCAGGGAGGCATAAACCCCAATATTCATTTTGCACAGAATGACAGTGCCCAGTAGAGAGGCACGTGGAAGCCAGAGAGCTCAGGACACGGCCATTCTTAGCACATCTTTCGGCCAGGGAAAGAGCGAACGTGTGCTTTGGGGTTTGCACTGCCAAAGCTTTGGAGGGTTCTTGGATCCTATGCATAGTGGCACGTGTCGAAGATATGGGAAATGCAGGAAAATGGTCCATACTCTTCGGAATGAGCTGTGCCTTGTGGTGTGATCTTGGCCTACCTTCTTCCCTACACTGGCGTCCAGGTGGGGTGCTCCTTCTGATATCACTTCCAGCTGCCAGGATGCCCACTCTCCAGAGCTCACTCTGTCCCTCGCCCTTCTCTGTACCCAACTCTGGGGAAGCTCCATTTGCTTTCCAAGGTGACAACTGACTTATCTAAGATACCAGTCTGACGATGGGCAAAGGAACAGAAGATGTTCTTATTTCTAAAAATGTCTCTCTTTCGTTAACCTGCACCTGATTCCTCTTTATCAGGCAGGAGCAGACATGAATAGCATCTCATTTAAAAAACAACAGACAAATCAAACCGAACAAAACCCTTGCAAGAATTGGGATGGGCAGTGGGTTCCGCCATTAACTTCTGCAGTGAGCTACCTGAGTCCTTAACCTCTCATTTTCCTATTCTAAGATTTTATTTATTTATTTGAGAGACAGAGAGAGAGAGAGCACAAGTGGGGGAGGAGCAAAGGGACAAGTAGACTCCCCGCTGAGCAGGGAGCCCGATGTGGGGCTCGATCCCAGGACCCTGAGATGATGACCTGAGTCGAAGGCAGACACTTAACCGACTGAGCCACCCAGGGACCCTGCCCCCTTCCCCCCCCACACCACCATTTGTTTGTTTAAAAGCTATATTGAGAGGCCTCTCCAAACTCATTTTTAAGGACATTACCACAACTGGACACAATTCTCTGTCATGGAAAAAGGTGAGGTGTCTGGCTCAGCAGCATCAGATTCCTTTCCTGGCACTCCAGATTCCCTTTTCTGTTTGCATCATGATTACAGAACTGACATACGCAGCTTCTGACTACTACGGATCCATTTCTTCCATCTTATTCTTGTTCATCTACCCACTGGAGGCGGGAGGATGGCGAGGGTGAGTCTCAGTGTTGAGCCTGTACTTTGAACTTAAATCAGTCCTGTTTGATGGTACTTTGATCAAAATACCTGGATCTAATTGATCAGTTTTAGAAAAACTGGCATCTATGGAGAAAGGGGAACCCTCTTACACTGTTGGAGGGAATGCAAGCTGGTGCAGCCACTCTGGAAAACAGTATGGAGGTTCCTCAAAAAGTTGAAAATAGAGCTACCCCACGACCCAGCAGTTACAGTACTGGGTATTTACCCCAAAGATACAAATGTAGTGATCCGAAGCTGTTTATAGCAGCAACGCCCACAATAGCCAAACTATGGAAAGAACCAAGATGTCCATCGACAGATGAATGTATAAAGAAGATGTGAGATACACACACACACACACACACACACACACACACACAATGGAATATTATGCAGCCATCAAAAAACCCAAAATCTTGCCATTTGCAACGACGTGGATGGAACTAGAGGGTATTATGCTGAGCGAAATAAGTCAATCAGAGAAAGACATGTATCATGTGATCTCACTGATATGAGGAATTCTTAATCTTAAACTGAGGGTTGCTGGAGTGGTGGGGGTGGGAGGGATGGGGTGGCTGGGTGTTAGACATTGGGGAGGGTATGTGCTATGGTGAGCGCTGTGAATTGTGTAAGACTGATGAATCACAGACCTGTACCTCTGAAACAAATAATACATTATATGTTAAAAAAAAAAAAAAGTAGGAAGGGAAAAATGAAGGGGGGGATATTGGAGGGGGAGACGAGCCATGAGAGACTATGGACTCTGAGAAACAAACTGAGGGTTCTAGAGGGGAGGGGGTGGGGGGATGGATTAGCCTGGTGATGGGTATTAAAGAGGGCATGTATTGAATGGAGCACAGGGTGTTATATGCAAACAATGAATCATGGAACCCTACATCAAAAAACATTTTTTAATTAATTAAAAAAAATAAAAAAAGATCAGCAAGCCTTAAAAAAAAAAACTGGCATCTAGAATATCAACAACTCGATGGTTGGTTGTGTATTTGCATGGACTCTATGTACTTATTACTTGCCTGTCTGGCCTTTTCTCTGCTTCTTTCTTTCTTTCCTTCCTTCCTTCCTTCCTTCCTTCCTTCCACCCATCCATCCACCCATCCATCCATCCTCCCATCATGTTGTAGACTTCAATCACACACAGATTTATCTTGCACTTCCTATCTGCCAGGCATTGGGGACATAATGGTTGGTCACTGTGGACAAAACCTCCTGCTTGCTTTAAAGTTGCAAGGAAAAACAAAAAGCAAGCAAATGAGTATATTTCTCTCAAGTCCAGGGGTGGGGAATGTTATGAAGGAATCGACAGAGTAGGAGGGTCCAGGGAGCTATTGTGCTAAGCAGGCTGGTCAGGAAAGAACTCTTAGAGGAGGGACCAGGAGCTGAATTCCACCACTCAATCCTACTAGGGATCCTAAGAGGTAGGTCTCATTATCCCATTTTATGGACAAGAAAACTAGAACCTAAGAGGTTAAATATGTGGCTTAAAGCCAGATATCGGGACTACCTGAGGGTAGAGCTCAGCCTGTCCCCTCTGGTGCTCTGAGGTGTATCGAGGCCCCACCTGTGCTGGGTCCTGCACGGGCCTTGGGGACAGAGAGCAGAAGACCCGACTTGCATCCGCCCCCCCATTGCTGAGTGGGAAGCCAGGCAGGTGCGCATAGGTAACAGGGCAAGAGCCATGATATTTACTCGCATGCTGCCCAAGTGATCCCGGATTTAGGAGGATACGGGATAGGAGTTCCTGCGGCGTGCTGTAAGGCTGATAAAATGTCTTCATTCCCTCTTTCCCTGCCTCAGAAGGATAAAGGAGCTCCCGCAGTTTCTGGTGGATGCTAAGCTCCTGGGACTGGGGAGGCAGAGTTGCTCGCACTCTGCCATTGATGCTGGGCTGATGCTACAGAGGTTCTGTAGCCACTAAATGTGGCCACTTAGAAAAAAACCACCTTGCTGCAATTCGAATGTATTCATTGATAAATTTGTTTCCTCATAGGTAAAAAAAAAAAAAAAAAAAAGGAGATAAAAGAGATTTTATATACGTGTGTGTGTGTATGTGGTAGAGATTTCTGAGCTTGCAAACAGCTGGAAGGTAGGATTGGAGGAGGGTTGGACTGGGGCATGCAAAGGGTAAGACCAGGAGGAAGGAAGAGGGAAAGAGATGGGTCGCCACAGCAATTTAAAACAAAGGGGGCAAGTTTGATGTATGAATATCACAGAAAGTGGCTAAAACATGGCGGGAAATCAAGCAAAGGAGTACAAACAGTGTTTAAGCAAGTATAAAACATTTTAGAAGAGAAAACCAACACTAGGTCACTGCTTGGGAATCTGGATCTGGAACTTGGGCAAAACTGGGTCTTCTAGGGCAGGGGGCCTTGGGATTTTAATGCCCCAAATGCCAATGGGCTGCATGGCTTAGAAAACCAGGTGAATGTGTGGTGTAGTGACTATGAAATCCTTACAGGCTATAGAACAGTATTAGTGGTTCCTGATAACTGTGAAGTGCTGTGCATGCCCAAGTAGAAGGCGACCACACACTTAAGGAGAGTTGCCATTTTCCCACAGAGAAAATGGCCCAGAAATGTTGATAGCCAATTTGAACATGTGAATTTTTAGCAACATGGATGACAGAGTCCAGAGTCTTACAACATAGTGTCAATTAACTTGATGAGAAATATTGAAAAGTCCCATTTTAATGAAGAAATACTACTTTTTCTTTTACTCTCCTATATTGTGAAACAATGCTACTCAGCATCTTTACATTTCTCTTTGGTCTCAAGGTCTGGTCAACTGATCTTTGACAAAGGTGCCAAGAAAGCCCAATGGGGAAAGGATAATCTCTTTAATAAATGGTGCTGGGAAAACTGGATATGCACTGCAAAAAAATAAACTGGACCCTTATCTTCTACTGCTGCAAAAATGAAGTAAAAAATGGAGTAACGACTTAAATATAAGACTTAAAACTTATAGTTTCAAGAAAACATAGCGGAAAACCTCCTTGACATTGGTCTTGGCAAAGATTTCTTGGACGTGACACCAAAAACATAGGAAACAAAAGCAAAGATAGACAAGTGGGACTACATTGAACAAAAAAGCTTCCTTATGGTAAAGGAAAAATAATCAACAAAATGAAAGGCAACCTACAGAATGGGAGGAAATATTTGTAAACCATCTATTTGACAAAGGGTTAATACACAAAATACACAGGGAACTCCTACAACTCAAGAGCAA